AAAACAGAATTATACCCCAGAAACGTGTCGATGCCTGAATCTTTGTAAGGTACTCAATTGTAGCCTTCCCAGGTTTTATGTTTGGTATCCTGGCACCCATCTTATTCAAGTAATCAGCAATTTCCTTGGGCAAGTTGGCCTGGACAAGCATTTTTTATTAAAAAAAAAGCAAACTTTTTAACAGCTGAGATTAAGTTAGAGCATTTACATGGTGGTGTTGGTGACTCTGATATAACTTAGTATATTTCTATTAACATCTAAATGTTTAAATATCATATTTACTATGGATTTTTAACCAAGAATTCTAAATTCCTAAGTCATAAGAGACGGCATTAGCATTAAGAAACTACTGATGACCAGACACTATTTTCATATCCAGACATGTAAGCACAAGAAATTTTATGCAGTAGTATAGAAACATCAAGACAACTATATCACTACTAGTTGGGGTTTAAAGTACTCTTTTACTGTATTGTAGCCTGCAGATTGAAGAACGAGCAGAAAGCAAGGTGATTCTAGAATGATATATATATATATATATATATATACACAGATTGCTTAAGTGGAGGGATCCCCATTTTTTCAAAAAAATGGGGACACGCTCCCCACCGTTAGATTGGTTTTAATGAAATTGTGTGGCCTGTACTTTAATCTCAACCACACAATTTCATTAAAACCAATATATATATAAAATGTTAAGAATAAACTTACAATGTCAAATATATTGAATAAGAACACAAAAAACGCATATATTGAGTAGTACACCCAAGGCCCTGCACCAATAGTATTTTCGGGGTTCAATATCTCCTTAACATGCTCCCAGAAAGGTGAACCAAGAATACTGCCAACAAACCACATTATTAGAAAGTTGTAAAGTTCAACTTTAAAACAGAAAAGACCAAAGTGTAAATAGAATTTAAGGAAAGCTTTCGGGGTCGGCCAGGAAATGATGCTGCCAAATAAGAAATTTTAACCTTGCAAGAATGCCGGGAAATGCCAAGAGATAAGTAGTGGTGAGAACAGGCTGCATTCCTGATGGGTTAATGGTAAAAGGGATATAGGGCTCCACTTCGGTAATAGGTGAGTCATCTCTGCCCAAAACACAAAAGACCAGAAAATAGTGTCAGCCAGCAGAAATAAAGTACACAAATTTTTATAAGTCAAATTATAGAAGGTAGAGTGTATGGTATGATGGCTTCTACTAATCTGTTAAACGATCATGAGATCAGTTTATAAGCAATAACGGCTAAGAACGGCCATCTATAATCAACCACACCATGTGTAGAGAGAAGTATGCACTACTCAGTGTCTTTCTCTAAAAATTATCACATCCCATCCAAATGGTAATATTTGACTTACCTTGCAGCAGAAGCAAGCTTAAAACCATAGTACTGCAGCTTTATCTTCCTGCACCCTTCAGTCACCACAACTGCCCACATGGTGACTATAGTGAAAACGCCCAATACTGCAAATAAATATGGGCCCCAACTAATAGAACTTCCTGAAATTAATAAAATAAAACATGAATCGGTAAACTTTAAAACTTGAAGTTAAATGATATCTGACAGAGTTCCAGTGATAGGATGAGCAAATTTACAGAATTAAATGTTATCTGATGAGATATTAATTGCGCCCAACACACGTAATTTAATGGATTTTGTTATACCACATACCTGAGAGCTGAGACAGCATTTTGTATAATGTCTCTGTGTAGCCAATCAATATTTGTACACAAATAATTAGAGATGAACCTTGACCTGAAATGTGAAATACCACTTACCAGTCAGAGAAGATAGAGATTATAATCCCACACACAATTGGAACGATACTATTATCTTAAGACCTCACATATGTACTAACAGTCACCATCAGTGAAAAACAAGTATTCCACAAGGACCCGTAAAAAAGTGACCCTATTGGAATGATACTATGATCTTAAGACCGCACACATGTATTCATAAAATTCAACTATGTAAAAACTTTCCCTAAATCCAGCATCTGAAAATGTTAAACATAGTGACTGGTGACAATGAACAGTAAAATCCTTCTTTGAAAGAAAAAAATGAGGCCCGGAAAGAGGCAACAGGACAGAATTATGGGGAATATTAGGACGATGATACAACTCCAGCCAAGTAACCAACATATCAAGTATAGTACCAAATCCAGATTCTGAGATGGTATCACAAATCCACGTCATTGTCATTGCTCCACAGACCAATAACATACTTGTCACCATCACATGCTTGACCCTGCAAAATTCCAAAACATAATCATACTCCTACCAACAGATAAATATCATCTTCGATCTCACAAATATAACTTACCAACTAAAACAAGAAGAAACCTACGAGACATGCAATTATTATTAAATAAGAAAAGAAAAAGAACCATGCTAACTGCTAAGTGCATGGTGGAAAAGAGAACCTAGGCAACTACATCTATAAGAACTTGTGACTAGACCCAAGATATACTCAAAATCAAAATCATTGTTGAAAATAACGATAGATATGCTGCATTACCTGTAGCTAGCCGCATAGATTGAATACGGAAGTGAATAACAAGCAAGTATGATAGCTTCCACTATTGCAAAGCCGAAAGACAGCCACCATCTTGAATAGAAAAAAACATGAAACGTGTTCAAAATCTTGACAGACAAAACTGGTCCAAAGTAAAAGTCACAATCAAATTGTGTAACAAGAACTTGGCTCACTGCTTGAGATGAAAAACTAGACACACATATAACTCTTAATCTTCTCATGACCATCTAAGCCTTCCTTCCGCAGCTTTACCAGGGAGGGAATAACATGACAGAGTACCTGTACATCGATTTTGAGATTTTCAATCTATAACTTTATTGTATTACATTCCAACTTTCCTCAAAAGATTAAGCACATTTAACATATATCCATGTACTTTTGTTGGTTTCAAAATTGTCTATTTGGTGAACATAAACCAAACGAGCTGATGAAAAGTATTAACCTGCATGATGATCGACGCTATGATTTGAGGACTGATTCCAAGCTGAAAGAAAGACATTTTAAGCTCTGCTGCAAAATCACCAAGTTCATCTGGCAGAAAACAACACGAACGACGATCAGACAATTGCATAAACAACCATACACATGGAAAAAGAATGGTCATTACTCACCAACAGATCCCGATACAAAGCTTAGGTAATCTTGAGGGATCAACCTTCTATCAAATCCAGGCAGAGGAATGAAATAACCGACACGACTAATCACAATTAGCACCGCTGTCACAAACAGCCTCCTCCTAATCTCGCTCTTGAAGAACGATTCAGCAGCATTATTAACCACAGAACTCAGGCGCACAAAATTCAGAAACCGGTTTCTAAACGTCATAGATCCCGCCTGCTCCGCCTTTGCATTCTCAACCGCGTTCTGTTTTGAAATTTCCGTCCCGTCACTCCCACTCAACGGATTAACTTCAACATTAAGAGACTCTGGAGGTGTAGCCTCGACATTTGTATAATCATTCACGAACCGGTTGGAGAACTTAACAGAGACTCTTCTGTTTAATCTGGACAATAAGGGGCTGTTTGGAAACGTGAAATTTCTAGGGTTTGTCCTAAGTGAAACATAGCTATTCCTAACATGGGGCAAACAACAAATTTGAATTTCACTACCTGAAACTGCACCTGCAAGGAAAATGAACAGAAAATCCCTATCAGAACACACAAATTTCACCCGAAGATACAAAATTTCACAGTTCCACCCAATCGAAATTCAACACGAAAACATTTTCGATGCATACACAGCTAGAAATTACTGGATTAAGTTTACCAAGAGATTACTAAACCCAACAATATCCGAATTTTCCATGAATTCTGTAACTTTCCTGCGTTTTCTCGTGAAACAAACAGGAAATACTGACCTCGAGATTTTTCGGGTGAAAGCTTGGGATGGAAGCGTTGCGAGCTCAGAAGAGTGGCTTCCATGGCGGGACTGAGAGAGCAACAGACAGCAGCGGGACTTTTCGGTTCGGTTAGGCTGGGAAATGGCTCATCTTTAAGGTGGGGAATAATCCTCTGCTTTACTCGCTCGTTTTGTGTTATTAATTTGCTAATCCTATTGGTCCATGTTAGGTCGGCGAGAGTGGATGCCATCGTGGCAATGCGTGGTTGGGTAAATGTTTCGAAGCGTAAATTTTACTACCATGTTTTTTGTCATGGACCGAAAGCAGCCCGTTTTGCTTCAATGAAGTATTGGGCTTTTTTATTTTCTGGCTTTTTATACAAAATGTTCTCGAAATCGTCATAATTCATCAATTTTGATAGCTGACAATAAAAATTGATTTATTTTAAGAAAAATTAATGAAAATAATTTAAAATTTTTAAGTTTTAACTATAAAGATAAAATAAAGGGTAAAGTGAATAGTATCAAAATTGACTTTTTAGTGTAAAAATGTGATTTTTAGTTAAAGTAAAAAATATCGGGTAGTTCCCTATATTTTATCCATTGTAAACCATTTTTGTCATCTCGTAAAAAATATGTCAATATTCTCGTTAGATTGTCACCTACATGACCACATAACCACCATTTTAAGGGTACTTTTGTCAAATCAATATCTCTACTTAACAAGGATATTGACAAATTTTTCAAATAATGACCAAAATAATTTACGGTTGACAAGATCAGGGACGGAGTTTGCCAATCTCAATTACCATTTTGGCTAAAAGCCTTTTTTCACTAGAAGTGATATTCTATAGTGTGCATTCATACTATGCAGAAGAGATTTGAATTTGCAATCATACGGCTTTCTCATATTTGAATTTGTACCACACTTTGTGATTGAATAATGAATGCAATTTTCGCTTGATCGGAAAAGCGTACATGTCTCTACTAAACTTTTTTTTTTCTTTCTAATTTTGATTATTGTTGCAACCTTTTTTTGGTGGTGAAATTATGGCTTGTAAATTTGCAATATCAATTTAAGTTCACAAGCATTACATATAATACAATTAGAATTTATCAAAGCACTGGTATAAAACGGAAGCTTTTAGCTGTTTATTTAAGCTTACATTACATGATCGAAGATCGATCATTTAACAGAGCTAGCCGTACACATCAATCATAGAACTACGAGAGCTTTAGCCTTTATGATTATAATGATACAAAGCTCATTTGAATGTGCTTTTAAAATGACTGAAAACGTTTTTTGTGAAAGTATTTTTGAAAACAATCATTATTAAAAATACTAGTAAATTCTGAAAAAACACTTAAAGTGCTTCATGAAAGAAGCACATAACTGGTGCTTCTTGTAGAAAGTACTTAAAGTGTTTTTAGAACCCAAAAATATTTTCTCTAAAAGTGTTTTTAGTCATCTAAAAAGTACAATCAAACGAGCTCATAGTTTCTTGTATACTTGTGATAATCGTTCTTCATATTCGCCATTAGTAAGTCCATTCCTTTGGAAGAAACAACTCTGGTGAAGAATTCGGACTTTGGGAAATAATGTAGTATTGAGTAGACGAAACATCCTTATTCTCATTCTTGTTTTGAGCTGCCAAGTAGTTTTCACTTTTTCGCTTGTGATCTTTAAAATCTGAAATTAGAATTCTGAATTCTTAGCAACGTACGATAAATCAACAAAAAATACCTCAATCAAATTAAGTAAAATATGATATATCAACGATGAGGGCAGATTAGTGGCACCATTTTTACTACACAATTTTTTACACACGTTTTTGTGAGGCATATTCCGTATTGTATTCAATGATCCAAACAATCTATCTTTTAGGTCTTCTCTCAAATATCATGTCTACCAAAAAATCACCAAAAATTTGAAACCATATGACTAATCGATCAAGGGTTTAGGGTTTCTTTATAGATCCATATTCGCTTATTTTCTTCACCACAAATGAATGTCTTAATGATTTTGGATTTGTCTAATTTTTTGTAAGGATCATCTATGAACGATGCTCTAAAATACAGACGGTTTAGATAGTTAAAATACATTACGAGGTGAGTCCCGCAAAGACGTGTGTAAAAAATTATGTAAAAAAATAGTGGAACGGATCCGCCCCCTCAACTTTATATATTGTTTGTATAGATCATATAACTAACCTTGTCGAGGTGAAACTTGCAGGCCTAGTGCATGCACGTTGAGGTTCAGAGCTTGAACCACACGAGAGGGCAGCAGAACGGGAGCACAAGCTGCATGCAAGGCAAATATTAACAAGGGCATTTCGATTTTCGCCAGTTGATTTTGGTCATTTGATTACGCTGATTATTCACGTTAAGTATCTTAACCAAAACTAAGAATAATATACCCGAAAAATGACCAAATTAAAATCTAATCCGAAATTAGGGTTACCTACGTACCTGGTTTTTTAGTTCTGTGGAAGTGGGTGCCTGCTCGTTGTGGAAGAAAAACGCCCGTGCCACATGATTTTTGGCTAGAATCCAGGAAAATGGCTTGCATTCCAGGTCCTCCGGATGACCAATTCACATGGACTTTTGGTCCATGATGTGGTCTCATTGAGCTAGATTTTGAATTCTGTAATTCACACGTTGTCTTAGTCAAACAAAATATATACGAATATACAATAGTACTACTGCATTCAAGTCCGGGATCGAAATTTCGAATCTCCTCTCAGTAGTAAAAAAAAAAACACCAACAGGTCAACAAGGTTGGTTGAGTTGGTAAGAATCGTTCTTTCGCTAAACTAAGGCTTAGGTTCGAGTCATGCTGCCGGCAATCTCTCATGGTGGGTGATTTATAAAAACCAAAAAATTAGCTAAAATCCATCCGTAAGTTCTCAAAGAGAATTGTATTATACCCTGCCTTTGGGATGAGGTAGCCTCCCCTCTTCTAAACTTTTCGGTACCAAGAAATACACCAAAAGAATTTATTTGTTTAATTTCAATGCACTAATTTTGAAAGATTTTACTTAATACCTAAGCCATGCATTGACAAGTTTCGAAGAAACCTTCCCTTGATCACAACTCTAAATTAATGACTCTCCCAAAACACTCCTTCAGCTAAAATTTTCCAACTAAATTTCTTTTTCTCTAAGATCAAACTATGCTTTAAAGTTAATTGGTTGCAAAATAAGATTGACAAAATTAACTAACAATTAGAAATATTAGGTGGACCAGTACAAGACCTAAAAGTGACAGTTGAGTAATATATACTATGTAGTCTCGTGAGTAGGTAATCGTTAATTACATGTTATACAATCAAACACAAACACTAATATAACCAACACAAAAGGACTCAGTGGTTGGAGACGAATTTCAAGCCCGTAATCCACACGGCACGTCTTGGGTTTTATTTCTAGCGTTAGTGAATCACACGATAGTTGCCAGATGAGGTTGAAATAGTTTATCTTTGAAAATCCTATCTCCTATTCCCCAAACCATGTCAAGAATGTCGGAACCTGGCCAGTAAACAAAATCTCCAAAATTCAAGCAACAAACTCCCATCAAACCATGATATTCTAATGCTGAAAATACTTCGCTCAATCCTCGAAAATAACCATTTTCATTTTCTCTATCAATCACCGTTTGATGTTTGTGCAGAAACTTTTATTTTGCTGTTTTTATTAAACTATTTACATGTATCTGTAAAACCGTGGATTGCAGGAAGGAAGAAATGACTCGTACGAGCGAATGAAAGAAACACTGCCATGCTAAATCTAATAAACCAATTCGTACACGTCAAAACATACAAAATCACCATCGATGGACAGAAAAGAAAACGAAAGTGAAGGCAGAAAGAGTACCACCAAATGATCATTGTGGTGGTGGTGATGGTGTTTTGCATGGAGCCTCGAATTTGCCTGCAAATTATAAGATTAAATCAAATTTTAATAAATTCGGAACAATGATCGTTAAAAAACCTAGAAATTAAATATCAAATCCTGTACTTAACAAGAAGAGATATAACTGAATAAAACCACTATCATTTCACCGAACGAAAAAGAGAGTAGAAATATGAGAGAGAAGAGAGAGAGAAACCTTTGTGTTACATATTGCTTCATCCAAAACTTGTGACGGCAGCCACAACATTCCTTCTTCAAAACAAACCTCTCCTTCTTCATGAGCAGCCATGGAATATACAGACACAGAAAAACAAGAGAGAGAGAGAGAGAGAGAGAGAGATCGAAGAAAGCGTTGAGAGTTGTGATTGAGTTAACTTCTAACCTGCAACGCAACTAAATACTTGTGGTGCCAACTTCTGACCTGCAACGCAACTAAATACTCACGCACTCTCTCTATCCTCGCAGGAAACAGAGCCAAATTTTAGAGAGAGAAAATCATCATATGTCATAGCCAAATAGGAGTCTTTCATGTGGGGAAAATAGCTTTTAATTAAATTAAAAAAATTCCCTGCCCTTACCTCGTCTTTACTATTTAATGCAGAATTAGAGAATACTCTACATACTAAAAACTCCTCACATTTATATTTTGAATAAAAAAATATCTTAATAAAGCCATTTTTTTATGAACAAACCTTATTATCTACGGGGAAGGAGGGTGGGTTTAGCTTAGCAATAATGTGGTTCAAACTCGTCTTTGGTGAGAATCGAACATAAGACTTCTCATTTATAAGGAAAGAGGTAAATCACTGGATCGTAATAGTAAGGGACTTAATGAAGCCATTTTAACTTCCCATAAAACCTTCACACACTCCACACTTTTGAAAGAAAAAAAAAACCCTCTTCATCGCTTTGAAAAAAACCTCGTTCAAGATCGCCGAAGAGTTCAGAAAACTCACTCTTGTCTTCTCAAGTTCATCTGCTATTTCAAATTTTTATTTTTGGAGGGGTGGGTTTAGATCGTTTTATATAAAAAAAAAATTGGGGGTTTCAGGTACATGTATATTTGGAGTTTTAGGTTTTCTCAAAGCAAACCCTTTCATTCCGAATTAAAGAATTCGGAATGAATCAAATCTTCCCAAGTAGGATTCGAACTTACGACTAGCCGATCGCTCTACCACTTGCTTAGCCAGTAAAACGTTATCTAATGTCTGGCTCATCATCTTTTGCTAGTTTGCACTATTTCATTCTGCACAAGGTACCATATATTTCTTGGTGCTTACGCGGTAGAAATGTCAAAATGTCATCCTAATTCTTCGAGAAACATTACATATTTAGTGCTTTTATTGTATTTCTTCAACCACAACACATAGCAGAAGAAAACATCATATATTTCAGGCATGATGGTACAAAGACAAACATATAAACATTTTTGGTCAAATACCTTTTGCGATTAAGGTTGATCTTCATAGTAATTATGGGACAAACATATTAATATGACTGGACAGGTAGTCTAGTAATCCCTAATGACGGTAATGTGCCTGGAATACAGACAATATACTATGTATCATTAAAAAAAGTGGAGGATTTTTTTTTAAGCTTCCTTCAAGTTATATAATTACATATAAAACATGTGTCTGTGTTCCGATCACATCAGAAAATCTCATAAACTCAATTCACTCATTATTGGAAATTTGAAAAGTTATGACTTTAATTATCTTTACATAACCGAATCTTAATGATAGGATTTACTTACGTATTAAACTTATGTTGTTGACTGAATTCTTCCTTTAGATTCAAATTCGACATGATTTTTCTTAGCCTCCCACTTTACCCAAATTTGATGGAGGGAGGATCCTGTTTGACAGACACTCTTTGTGAGGATCCCGGATATCATCCAATCACATCCATTCATTGTACATCGTGTGATCAATTTTCGTTAAGTATTGTTTATATTTAATTTTAAATAAAAAATTTACAATAATTTCTAACCGCACGATATACGATAAAAGAATGTGATTTGAGAATTCTAAAAATCTTCACAAAGAGGATCCGACGAGAATCTTCATTTAATTTGATGGATCACATAAGTCAGAGTCCATATGATCAACCTTCCCTTATTTTACTTTATTTTCAATCAAGGTCAATTATAATATCCATTAAACCATGGACCCTAACAAATATTTCTGAGATCAACGCTCCAAAATTAGAAATGCAAGGGCCTAAAGGTCATTTTGTACAACGAAAATGGGCCTGATCAGTAACCAAATATATCCAAAGTTTTGATCTGCTGGTTTAATTATAAAGGGGCATTTCGGTAAATTCATCCTGTATAATGGATGTTGGACGTGGGTGTGGGTATGGGTGTGGGTCGGGTAAACCCCTTTTCCTCTTTGGTCGTTGCAGTTATTCTTCATTCACTTGACCCTCTGATGTTGGCTGACTGGGATCCGGATTCTCTCATCTCTTTTTTTTTTCATTTTTTTTTTGTTGATAAAAACTCAGTTTCCTTCTCTTTGTTATGTTTTATTAGAATGCTTACGATTAAGTCACGTCAATATCTTGTGTTAACTTTTTTATAGAAAAAAAAAAAGACAAAGGAAAATGAGAGGGAAGGAGAAGAGATTTTGAGAGAAGAGAATCCTACTCTTGTTGGCTGGTTCCATAAACTTGTTTTTGGAATTTTATTCTAATTATATAACTTTACAAGCGTAAGTTGGGTCAATTAGTCAGAATAATGTTCAAGTTCCCTTGCAATCTGGTTAAAATCTACTTCTTCACGTATTACTCAAAATTACGTTGCAGACCAGTCATTAGAGTAATGTTTTTTAATCTCATCTCTTTACTTAAGTTTGAATCCTCAAATTTTTAAATTAAAATAGTTTAAAATATATTCTCGTAAAAAAATTCTAAATAGATAACGTTTTATATATTTTCCTTGAAACTTGTAATCATCCACTAAAACAAACTACACTCAAAAGCAAGTCTTCCTGCCTGTGGAGATGCAGTGGGGAGGGAGGGGCAAGTGCCCTAATCTTCTTATAACGTTTTATACATTTTCCTTGAAACTTGTAATCATCCACTAAAACAAACTACACTCAAAAGCAAGTCTTCCTGCCAGTGGAGATGCAGTGGGGAGGGAGGGGCAAGTGCCCTAATCTTCTTGACTACCTTACCTACACTATCACATCAAGTATGGTTTAGGAAAGGAGGGTCCCACGTTTTGATACATAAGCAAGGTATTAAAAGTTAGGTTTTGCATAGATCATCTTTTGCTTCATGATAATTACTGGGAACCAAGCTTTGGTATATGTCACTTTGGTACAAATAAATAAATGTGTGTGATGTAAGGTTAGGATGGCAAAGCCATGCACTTAAATTTTTATTTTTAGATCAGTTAGTTAGGAGATCCTACAAGCCGCTTGCTTGTACCTTAGTTCGAACCATCCTCCTTCTTGACTAAAATAGTTTAGAAAGTTTAGAATATCGTATTTCGAAAAGAAAACGTAAGATTTTGAGTTCAAGGGTTTTAATTGGTATTTATAGTTCAATTTCCTAAAATGAAAACTTTCTACTTATACAAGAAGAAATAAGCTCAAATGATTCATTGTACATAATTATCTTATGTTAACATTGAATATAGCCATTTTTCCGACCTGGAGAGAAACGAACCCTAGACCTATATTATAGGGAATCAAACTCTTGACTTAACTCTCTTGGGTTAGATAGCCATATCAATATCATGCACCGTTATAGAAATATTGTTGTTCACCACTCGTAAGCGGTAATCATCATTACCGTATTACTTGCAATGAAATAAGTTTAATTGTCAAAATTTGTGTAGCAGATAGATTAAACTGCAGTCATCTAATGACAATCAATGCATTAACGATGCTCACCGCTATTTTAGGGTGGCGAGCAAAATGCACCCTTTCTTATAATCTTTTTGGTTGAAATATCATCAACTCTATAAGAATCCAACCAAATCAGAAAGTAGGTCAACCCCAACCCACAAAGGTGTAAAAAGTTGAGTGCAAGTGCAAGAAACAAATAATGAAAAAGATTGGGATAATGTTATCTAGAGCTGTAAAGTGCTCATGACTAGGAACCAGTTTAGGTCAACAGAACTGGCAGTTCAGTTGGGTTTGGCGGGTCAAGGAAGACCTAGAGCTTCACTGAGGCAATCCTATCTACTCTGTAGAACATCATTGACCCAATTGCGAATAAACTGCTTGTTGAACCAGAAACTGTTTGAACATTAGGTGAACTGCATAACTTTCTGCCCGAAAACTTTTCAGCGAAAACAGAAAATTAGAACCTATACATAGATTTGATTTCAGAACAACGAACATGTTCTTTCTCGATTGTATTCTAAACATCGCTTGCTTGTTAATCCGACTAACATAAGCAGTCAGCTTGAATGATCATGAAAACAAATGCAATCTATATAACTTGAAAATCTTAAGAGTTTACCATCATGGCTACAAAACCTTTAACTGAAAGAACTCATTTCTACTAGTTTTCTGGAAGTTCCGTCAAGCACTTACATTCAAGAAAATATGCTAGAAATGTCACTCACGCACATTTTGCTAGTGATCTTTATGAGCTTACGAGTCTCGTCATCCAACTGAACATTGTCCTTCTCCATCCTTTCTGCAATTACAAGTGGCATTTTACCAGCTTCTGCATAAATTCTTATAAGAGAATTATATATCTCAGTGCTCACATGACCAGCATTCCGAAGAAAAACCAACAGTTCCTCAGCCCCTTGAATATCGCCTTCCTCCTTGAGCCTGTTAAATACTTCCCCAATCAACCGTTTGTCAGGATCCCATCTCTTCACACTACCAACAGCTTTCTTGAAATACTCTAGCACTTTTTCCGTATGTTTTTGTTGCAAATAACCCCATGTAAGAAGCTCCCAAGTACTGTAACATGGCTTTATGTCATTTTGCACCATCCGATTATGAAAGGTTTCTGCCCTTCTCATTTGGTCTTCGTTGATGTACGCTGCAAGAAGTATATTTGAAACCCTAGGATCATGAGTACCTGAAACAGACTCCCATTCAGTATAGAGTTTCTCAGCTTCTTCAAACTGCTTGAGTTTCACAAGCGAAGACAGCATACATGTATACTCAGCATCATTCATTTTGGGGAACAATGATTTTACTTTTTTCCAGATTCGCCGAACACCTTCTTTATCACCAATGTTTGTATGCAGGCTGAGCAGGGATGAATATGCGACTCGATTTTTCTGAGATACCAAGTTCTCCATCTCCTTCAAGGTAACTGCTGCTTTTTCGGTCAGTGAATTTTTTATATACAAGTTGGTTAACGTGCTACATGTGACCCAGTCAGGATTTAGCTTTGCCTTCTTTAGTTCAAGGAAAACTCTTTCTGCAGTTTCAACATCATTTTGTGATGCACACACAGTTAACCATAGATTGTAAGTAACAACATCCGGCGACGTATTAC